TCCGAGGCCACCGCAGGCATTTTCCCCCAGCTGAGCTGCGGGAGCGTTCCTTGGGAGGCTCCCGCTGCTCAGCTGGGGGAAAATGGTGCCTATGGGGAAAACATCGCAAAGCGATTTTTCCCCATAGGCAACATCAGTATGCGATCGCTTTTCCGATCGCAAAATCCGCATCGGTATGCGGATTTGTCGTTAAACGGGGCACTCGTTATACGAGGCACCACTGTAAATTATCTCACTAAGGTATTTCTGGTATTAACATTTCTGGATTTTACTTTTAAAATCATGTAGTTCTCCAGAATGAAAGATCATAAAATGCTGAATTGCTTTTTTAACTCCTTTCTTTTGTCAGGATATTCGGAAATTCTTTGGAGTTTTAACTCCTGGAAAGAAATATGAAGGCAACACTGCCAAGAAAAATGAGAAGTCCAAAAACAGGGAGGGGACTTCAGACGAGAAGTTAAAACTGAAGGAAATCAAGGTGAGTGTATACTCCTAAAATACATGGCTTTTTGAGTTTTCCACTGCCTTTGTGGTTTGTTTAAATGTTACTAAATTCCTTTTAGTAATAAGGATTATGAAGTCAGAAATGGAGAATTAATTGAAAGAGAAAAGTGTATTCGTATGCAAAAAGCTGTTCTTAATCATTGTTTTTCTGATTGCAATTTTCTGTGTATCACTAATGCTTAGTGCACATACGATGTACATTTAATGCAAACCTGAGCAACCCACCAGGGTCTGTGGGGCTAATGCTGTGTCTGATTCCCGCTCCATGCCTGGATTCACTTGGTGGTGGTGCTCCTATAGCTTCTGTTGACTCACGTGCAGGCTTAACCAACAGTGGTGGCACTGTACCAAACTTTTCCTGCTCTTAGGTCTGTCTGCTTGATTGTGCTCCGGAAAGAAAATGAGTGTCTCTTTTATGTCCATTTGTAAGTGATATTTTGTGAGTGGGCTTATATAACAGTGGTGGTGCTAGAATAGTCACATAGAAAGGGAGGGAGTAAGGCTTGGTTGGTGCATGAGGGGCTTGTCAAAGGCAGTTTGTGGGGTTCCCAAGAGGTCAAAGCTGGGCCTGATCTCTTGTGCCTATTGTATTTTTGGATATGATGGAAGTTAATCCACTTGATTGCTCTCTCTTAGAATTAGGTAAACAAGAGAAAGTATTGCAACATTGTTTTGATTCATTCATAATTCAATTACAACTAGGTGAAAAATACATCTCATGAAGAAGATTTCAGACAAAAACAGACAAACAGGAAGAAGAGGATAATCTATGATTCAGGTAACA